GAAACTGCAAGTGAGAGTTATTACTATCACACTGTCATACTGGGCATGTATCGTGACCATCGGTGAATGCACAACATAATTTTGGTCCTTCGAGCCAGATAAGCGACCGACAGGAGCGTCGCTGTCCATCATATCTGACNTCACACTGTCATACTGGGCATGTATCGTGTCCATCGGTGAATGCAAAACATAATTTTGGTCCTTCGAGCCTGATAAGCGACCGACAGGAGCGTCGCTGTCCATCATATCTGACGTGATAACGAAGAAATCGGAGCGGCTGAGCGAGAAACATTGCTGCCCATCCGACATCAAATCAGCTGGAGCTCGCGATCGAGGAAGCATCATGACCCACACATCGACATCTAACTGGACCTGGTGAACGAGAGAAGTGTCCCAAGCTGCTATCGACTGCACGAACGGACGCAACGATCGAGAGAATCGTCATTATCCAGATCAACGTAAACGGGAGAGCAATCAACGAAGCGTTGCATCCACACTCATCATCGTCAACGAACGTAAGTCAGCTCTTAAACTGCTTGTTAAGCTCGCTAATCAAATCATATTCCTAACATAAATCACATCCACAATGGCTAACATCGATCAAAAACTTCTAACATCCCGGCATCGAATTTTAGAACGAATTAAAAGCTTCAAAGAATTCTTAGACGCATACGACACCAATCCGAATTCGTTAATTTTAAAATTGAGACATAAGCAAATAATCACAGATTATGAAGAACACGAGAAGGTTCAAAATAGCATAGAAGCAAAAACTGATGCAGGAAACGTAGCTGCCGAAATAGCAGAAAGAATCAAAATCGAGAACGAAAAATATATATTATTGGCAAGGGTGCTAGAAATATTAGACAAGGTAGCTCTAGTTACGGTAGATGGTTCAAGCAATATTTCAAACAATCATGACAATAGTGAAACACACGGCGCAACATCACCCGCATTCAATCAAGTCGACACTCCAGGAATTCATATCAATTTACCTAAGCTCGACTTGCCTAAATTCAGCGGTTCGTATGAGGCATGGCCAGGTTTCGCGGATTCCTTTTGTTCGGCTATACACAATATGCCGCGTTTCAGCGACGCGCAAAAATTAATCTATTTGCGATCATGTTTGACCGGAAATTCCGCGGATAAAATCGAATCCTTACAAAGTACCGATGCAAACTATACGGTAGCGTGGGATTTACTCGAAAAATCCTATAACGATCCAAACGCATTATTAATTAAACATGTGAAAGCGTTTTTTGAGTTCCCCACGTGTAACAAAGCATCGTCTCGATCTATTGGTGATATTTCGGATTCAGCAAGAAAGCATTATCGCGCATTAGAAGCATTACAAAAACCATTTTTAGAGATCTTTCCAATTTATGCAGTAATATCAAAGCTTGATGATGAAACACGTCTTAAATGGAAGGAAACTCTTTGCAATAATACCATTCCCACAATAGAAAATCTGCTCGAATTTTTACACAATCGTCAAAGAGTCTTAGAGGATACTAAGCCGCAAAGAACAGACAAATCCTACAACTCGTCTAATTTTACATCTTCACTAAACAAATCGCGACCTCAAAAATCTTACTCAGCTCAAATAAACGTTAAACCACCTTATTGCTGTTTATGCAAATCGGATCATTACACCCAGAATTGCGAGAAAATCGTCAATGCTACCATGGATGAGCGCGAGAGAATAGTAAAGGAGTACAAGTTATGCTTAAATTGCTTACGCGCTAATCATGAAATACAAGATTGCAAATCTAAGGGCTGTAAAAGATGTAATAAACGCCATCATACTTTGTTGCATAAGGACTTACCCAACAATCCATCAATTAATTCTCAAGCGAACAGTCTAAAATCTAATATTGCGTGTTTATATTCTAGTTATTCGAGTCAAATTCTCTTAGCGACAGCACAAATAGATTTCTTAGATCGCGACGGAAACCCGCACTCTGCTCGAGTTCTTTTAGATTCTTGCTCTCAGGCAAACTTTATAACGAAAAATTTAGCTGACAAACTGAAGTTGCCTCGGTACGATATCAACGTGTCTGTGTCTGGCATAAACGACACTGTCATGCATTACAGGAATATGATAAACGCCAAATTTAAATCTAGAGTCCATGATTACTCCAACGAATTAGAATTCCTTGTTCGCGACAGATTTCCTGATGTTGTTCCCGCATATTAAGCTAAGCGAGAATCGTTACACATACCCATTGACAAACCACTAGCGGACCCAGATTTCTGTAATCCGAGCACAGTAGACGGTATAATCTGAACCGAGATTTATCTCAAATTATTGCGTCCTGGACAACTAACAATAAACGATCGCGGCGCAATAATGCAAAATACGGTCTTCGGTTGGATCATTGCTGGAAGAATTTCGACGAACGTTGCAAACGATAAGCTAATATGCAAGTTCACATCGATTGAGACGCTCAACCATAATTTAACTAAATTCTGTGAAATTGAAGAGCTTCCAAGAGAAAAATACTTATCAAGAGAGGAGCAGGCTTGTGAAGAACATTTCGTAAAAAACACTAATCGTGAATCAGATTCCGGTAGATATATCGTGAGTTTACCATTTAACGAGAATAAACACAAACTAGGCGACTCATATAACACGGCATTGAAACAATTCTACTCTCTCGAACGATCTTTTGACAAAAGTTCGGATTTGAAACAACAATATACACAATTTATGGATGAATATGAAAACTTAGGGCATATGACCGAATTAAAACATTTCGATACCGACGGATTTTTTATGCCTCATCACGCGGTATTCGAACTTACTAGTCTAACGACAAAAACACGCGTTGTATTTAACGCTTCTAGCAAAACTTCTAGTAATCTTTCACTCAATGACGTTTTAATGACCGGACCCGTGATACAAGACGATTTATTATCTATAATCCTGCGTTTTCGTCTACACTCCTTTGTACTGACTGCGGACATAGCTAAGATGTATCGGCAAGTTTTCATTCATCCAGACGAACGTAAATATCAAAAAATAGTATGGCGTAAAAACAAGAACGAACCAATCAAAATCTACAAACTGAACACCGTGACGTATGGAACTACACCAGCTTCGTTTTTGGCTACTCGCGTCTTGCAACAACTAGCAGATGATGAGGTTGAGAGTTTTCCCCGTGCCGCGTATATATTTAAAAACGATTTTTATATGGACGATCTACTTACCGGGTCACAGTCATTTGATGAAGCTAAAACATTACGCAACGAATTGATCAATCTCGCAAATAAAGGCGGTTTTTGTCTACGACAATGGGCATCTAACGTACCAGAACTTATTAACGATTTATCAGAAGACAACAAAAATGAACATGTCAGTCTGAATCTGGAGGAGACAATCCGAACATTAGGACTAGTTTGGAACCCCAAGCACGATAAAATCATGTACACAATTAAGAACGAAGAAGAGAGTGAGAAAATAACTAAGCGAACGATCCTGTCACAAATAGCCAGATTATTCGATCCATTGGGCCTGCTAGGACCCGTAATCATAGTAGCTAAAATACTCATGCAAAAACTGTGGCAATTAAAAATCGATTGAGACGAGGTTCTCACTGCCAATATAAGCAATGCTTGGCAAAATTATAAAAATGATTTACCGTTAATACGCGATTTCAATGTTAATCGTAAAGTTACTATAGACCTCTATCATAACGTCGAGATTCATGGTTTCTCCGATGCAAGCGAAAAGGCATACGGTGCTTGTATTTTTATAAGATCCACGAATTCTAATGGTCAAATATATGTACAACTTCTATGCGCCAAATCGAAAATTGCCCCTTTAAAATCCGTATCACTGCCACGATTAGAATTATGCGCTGCGCTCTTATAAACTAAATTACATGCTACAGTAAAAGCAGCCTTACGTAATATAAAAGTCACCAAGACTACTTTTTGGTCAGACTCTATGATAACGCTACATTGGTTGAATACACCACCCCATAAATTCAAAACCTTTGTTAGCAATCGTGTCGCCGAAATTCAAAGGTGTAGCTCGCCTGAACAATGGCGTCACGTACCATCAGAAAGTAATCCCGCGGATCTAATTTCTCGTGGACTAAAGCCACGTGAATTCCTCGACCATCAACTATGGCAAAATGGTCCCGCTTGGTTAATACTGAACGAAAGCATGTGGCCAAAAACAACATTACAATTTATCGATATCCCAGAAATCAAACCTTTAACCAGTTTTGAAGCAATCGTACAGAAAAACGATATTTTCGAGCGTTATTCATCTCTCAATAAGTTAAAGCGTATCGTAGCTTATTGTTATAGATACACAAACAATTGTCGCAAGCCTACAAACAGACAAACGGGCTTGCTCACCGCATACGAAATACGTAAATCACTAGACCATATCATTCAAGTGGTGCAATGTGAGAGTTTCTATAAAGAAATTCACACATTATCTAAAAATCAAAGCTCGACTGGTAACTTATCATCACTTTCTCCCTTTATCGATGCTGACAAAATTTTACGCGTAGGCGGACGTATCAGACACTCTAACATTCCTTATGAACAAAAACATCAAGCATTGCTACCGAAAAATCATCATATAACAGATTTAATTATAAGAGAAATTCATATCCAAATAAAGCGGGTGCTCAAACAACGCTTAATCTTATCCGCGAACAATATTGGATAATTGATGGTCGACAATATGTGAGGAAAATCTTGCACAAATGCGTGAAATGTCGAAGAGCAAGGCCTATTACGCCTCAATATATCATGGGAAATTTACCCAAAGATCGCGTCGAATTTTCACGTCCCTTTCTGAAAACTGGAGTCGACTTTTGCGGACCTTTTTTTATTAAGGAAAAACGCGTACGTAATCGTAACAGAATTAAGATCTATGTCGCTATATTCGTGTGCCTATCTACCAAGGCCGTTCATATAGAGATGGTAGAAGACCTGTCTACACAAGCCTTTCTAGCAGCTGTAAGACGATTCTTTGCACGTAGAGGTAAAGCTACGGACCTGTACTCTGATAACGCTACTAACTTTGTCCGTGCTAAAAGAGAAATCGATGAGCTTCACAAGTTAATAATGTCTGACGAACCATCGAAAATAATCTTTTCTACATTAGCAAGTCAGAATATTAACTGGCATTTCATTCCGCCCCGATCTCCGCATTTTTGAGGACTATGGGAGGCGGCCGTGAAATCTTGCAAACATCACCTCATTCGCGTAGTGGGAACCACATTACTTAGCATTGAAGCTTTTTTAACCTATTTAGTTGAAATAGAAGCGATCTTAAATTCGAGACCCATCCTACTCTTGTCCTAAGACCCCAACGACCAAAGGTCATTTAACCCCAGGTCATTTCCTGATTCGCGAGCCTCTAACAAGTATGCCTGATCATGACCTACGCGAACTAGCACCTACCAG